AGCGGCAGCAGCAGTAGCGGTAGCGGTAGCGGTAGCAGCAGCAGTAGCAGTAGCAGTAGCAGTAGCAGTAGTAGTAGGAGTAGTAGTAGTAGTAGTAGTAGTAGTAGTAGTAGTAGTGCTAATGCTAATGCTAATGCTAGTGCTAGTGCTAGTGCTAGTGCTAGTGCTAGCGCTAGCGCTAGTGCTAGTGCTAGTGCTAGTGCTAGTGCTAGTGCTAGTGCTACTGTTAGGGGTAACGGTAGAGGTAGTGGTTTATTGGTAGCAGCAGCAGCAGCGGTGGCGGGAGTGATGGTGGTGGTAGTGGTAGTGCTGGTCCATCCCAACACCAGCGCAACCACCGGCACCAGCTCCAGCACCACCACCGGTATTACCATTTCATCCGGGACCCATTCAGCTGACCGCAATACCGCCCAGGTGCACGGCTCATTCAAGATGCAGTCCGCTGACAGCAGGCACCTGCTGGGCCACTTGGTTCACAGCATCGAAAGATCTGGAAACTCGGCAGGTGACCAAGACAGCAATTGTGTGTTCGGACCCAGGTGTGCCTGCGGCTCCACTAGGCCCTGGCCAGCCTGAGATTGGCCGCAAAAAGAGCACACGCTGCTGCTAGAGAAGCTGCACAAGAGGTCCAAACCGATCGAAAGGACTCGAAAGGGCTGGTAATGTGAGGAAAACGGCTTCGAAAGTCGCTCTAGAGACTGCAAAGCCTTTCGAAAAGGGCTAGACTGCCTAGAGATGTTGAGAAATGGAGCAAAGGCCTGTTCGCGGGACTGTGGGGGGGAGTGGGCGGCCCGAAACTTTGAAGGCTTTGAAGGCCGACTGAGAAGGGGCATGTAGAGCCTCCGATCTGATTATCCTTCGAGCACTAATTGATCTCTGCAGCCGCGACGTATGCTTCATCACCGCGGCGGAGGGCCACAACCTCCATATCAGATCAGATCATATCATACCATGTCATATCATGCTCCAACCCCGGTTGCAAACGTCGTGAAATCCAGCTCCATGTGCCCGGCCTGCTCGAAGGCAGTGTGTGCCTCCTCCACATCCTGGATGCATGACAGGCTTATGTGACTGCTTTCCGGCGATCGCGACCACTCAAATGTCCGGGGCACGTGAAGCACGGCATGTTTCAGAAGTTGAACGGCTGGTTCTCTACATGACGATATACCCTTGTCGGACGGCAACACCATTCGGAGGTGCTTCCGGAGATCTTGGCTCCGGTCCACAGGTTCAGGAGTCCGAAATAGACGAGGAGTACTACCGCAAGGTAACCACCATTCAAATTTTTCTAGGACTTCCGGCTTGCTTCCTCACATGCAACTTCATGCAATGTAGCAGGCCGTGCCACGGCCAACAAAAACAGAGTGACGAAGGCATCGCTTTACCGTCAAGGGAGCTTCTGGAGATACCTCTTGGATGCCAACATTCCACCACAAAGTGATTTACATCCCGTAACTTTCTCAGCAGACCCGACAGCAAAAACAAAGAGAGAAGCAAAGTCGAACAGTTGCAGTGATGCTGCAGCATTGTTTTTTCCACCTATGTTGCTTGGGCTCGAAGCAGCGCAACGCGGTCTTCCCACACGGCTGCGCCAGCAAGTCGTGGCTCTCAGTCTTTGAGCTGGGCATGGGATCTGGAGGCAAGTGTTTTCCCGAAAGCAAAGCCAACAACGCCAAAGACACAACCAAGTGGTGCTTCATGTTAGGGTTATGCGCACTGCCATATCTCAGAGTCCTAAAGCAGCCAAAACCGCAACGGAACGCAAAGACAAACAGCCCACCCCCACCCCCACCCCCATGAGATGTAACCTGGGCGTGTATCCCCTCGCTAAGGCGTACAGGAACACAGGCACACAGGAGTCTTTTTACTACAGGCGCACAGCTGTAGATCGTACTCTGCTAGAACCTTGAGC